TCTTTTACTGTTCAGTTCTCTATTTTCCCTTTTGATTCTGTCTGATCTTGTCTCGTGAACTTTGGGTTGTTAGGTATGTATTTCTTTTGTTATAGCTTCCTGATAAACTGACATTTTCTAAAATGTCCCTTTTATCTCTAGTAATTTTGGTCTTAAAGTTACTTTTGTATTGTGGTATTAGTCTTGCCACTCCAGTTCCCTTTTGGTTTTCTGTGTACATGGTATGTCCTTTTTACCCTGTTACTTTCAACACATTCATGTCCTTAATCTAAAGTGTGTCTCTTGTACACTGAAAATAATTGGATTGTATTTTTAAATTCATTTGGAGAATCTGCATTTTGATTTATGTTTAACCCTTTTGCATTTAATATAATTATTGATATCATTGGATTTACTCTGCTACTTTGCTGCTTGTTTTCTCTGTCACATATCTTTTTATAGTTTTTTTGTTCATTTTTACCATGTTTTGTATTAACTAGATGTTTTCTACTATACCATTTTAATTCTATTGACTGCTTCTGTTCCTCTGTGTAGAGAGTTCTTTGTTTCTTTGTGTTCTGTAAAATGTTGATGTAAACTGGACATTTAGATAATATGTTGCAGCAAATATGGATTCTCGTCTCTCCTCTTAGAAGTTGTTGCTTTTGTCTGTTGCTGCTTAGTAAATTACCTCAACTATTTTATAGCGCCTGTTTTCTCTGCACCATCTCTGCCCAATTGTTTTCATTCTTTGGCATGGTTTCCCAGGAGCTGTGACTGGATTATTAAATATAGTGGTCCGCCAGTGATTATTCAGAGGTTTTGCTTAAACATCTTGAGTCAGTAGGCTTCTGCTCTTGCCGATGGATCTGTTTAAACTGCTTTCAAAATAGAGGCAGCCTGCAAGTCTTCCCCAGCTGTTAATTTCTGCTGGATCTCTTCTGGTCTTCTCTGCCTTTGTGCAAGGCCTCATACTCAACAGCAACAGCAAGTAGATCAACAGCAAGTAGATCTCTGGGATCTTCTGTGGTCGCACCTGTGTACGACAAGCAGCCTTAACACATGTACACAGCCTTTCGGGACGTGGGACAGCAGAGACTTCTGGCAGCTTATCAAGGCCCGTGATAGCTCTTTTGTTTTTATTTACATTTCTGGCTGGCATGTTACAGCCAGATTGTAGTCTCAAGTAGCTCTGATCTTGTCCTGCCCCAGTTGTTTACCAGTAAGCTCTGTTACTTTGGACAAGCCCCCAGGCTTCAACCTTTTTCTCAAGTCAGTGCCCTCTGGCAGCAGAGTTGCTGGTTTTTGTAATAATTCTGTCAGAACTGGTAAGAGTGGGAGTTCAACATAAAAGACCCCTTCCCCACTGCTCTTGCTGAAGTTCAGTATATTTCCTTTATATAAACGATTTTCAATATGTTGTATGCCTTTGCTCAATTTTTGGAGACCTGTAATCGCTGTTTATGACAACTCTGTCCAGTTTTATAATTGTCTTTGGGGAGAAGATTTGCTGAGCTCCGTATTCTACCATTCCCCCATTCACACTCCCTCCCTTAGCCCCTTTATTTCTTCTTCTACCATCTGCTAGGACAACTCAGGTATTTTCTCCTCACTGAATAATATCGCAATAGCTTTTCCCTGGCTTCTAATATAAGCCCAGGAACGTCTGTGCCTGAACATCTTTGATCCTCTACCTCTAAATTTTATTCTCCTAATTATTTTTAACATTTTACTTTTCAATTACAGTGAACATTCAGAATTATGTTAGTTTCAGGTGTATACCATAGTGATTAGACATTTATATACTTATAATGTGACCACCAGCATAACTCTAGTAAGAATCTTTAACAGGTCCTTACAAAAAACAAAACCAAGGGGGAGTCTGGAAGTAAAAGAGGGAGGTGGCTTAGGCTGGGGTAGGGAGAAAAATGCAGACAACTGTAACTGAACAACAATAAAGTAATTTAAAAAATAAATTAATTAAACACACACACACAGAATCTTTAACAGTTCCTTAGTTGTGTTTGCTCTTCACTGCGGGTGGTAATGGCCTGTTTGTGAGCTACCCTCTGGGCCTTGCTGTTCTCACACTCGGCCATTAACTGCTTGTTAAAGGCCCACAGACTCTTATTAATTCTCCTCAGGACATCAGTGTAACTTATCAGGTAACCAGCTAACTCTATTCTTTACACAGGTATTGTTACACCCATATGTCTCAAATGCCTGAATTGTCACACCTGCAATAGCATTTCCCTTCACTGAGATATTTCCCAGGTCAGCACTAGGAAATCCTTAGTAATTTTATTACCATTCTGTGCCAGTCACTGGGTCACAAGTAAGCCAATCCCAAATCCCCTTCTTATTACCTTTCTCAGACTACTCTTGGTACCATGTTCAGGTTCCCAAGAACAGATGCCAAGAAGGAATTAGATATGCAGAGTTATTAGGAAGAATGGCCGTGAGGGAAGGTGAAGGTTGCCAGGGGAGGCTGGGATTGCTAAAAGGTCAATGATGCAGATTAATCCTTGTGAAGGAGATATGAAAGAATGGGTGAAAGAATCTTTTTTTTTAATTAAAGATTTTATTTTTAGAGAAAGGGGAAGGAAAGAGAGAGGGAGAGAAACATCAATGTGTGGTTGCCTCTCACACACCAGATGGGAGGGGATCTCACACATGCACCCAACTCACACGCACCCAACTCACAGGCACCCAACTGGGGACCCAACTCACAACCCAGGCATGTGCCCTGACTGGGAATCAAACTGGTGACCCTGTGGTTCACAGGCCTGCACTCATTCCACTAAGCTACACTGGCCAGGGTAGGTGAAAGAATCTATTGACTCAGTGAAGTTCCCATGAAGTTTGTTAAGCCAGTGGGGGGTGGTCCTTGAACTAAGGCTGGCTGTTGGAGGAGTCCTTCATATCCCAGGATTGGGCCTGCTTTATATAACTTAAGTACACCTGCCTTGTTCAGTCACTGCCTAGGAGTGCTCATTGAAAATGTGGCTTCAGTGCAAATACAGCAATGCATTTCAGAGCACAGCTGTGACTGTGAAATACGAAGTTTGTGTGGAAAAGTCCAGCCATTGTTAATGTTATGAGAACAGTTTGTGTGACATCGATGTAACTTGGCAGCCAAGGAGGGTGGACTGGAATGCGCATGCGTGAACAATGATGACTTCACTGTACAAGTCAGTGGGGATGGTGGACAATGTTGAGTGAGCATGTGTACTGTGTGGCTGTAACATTCAAAATGACTGAGCAAGTGGAGCAATGAATCTGCATCAGAGTTTGCATGAAGCTTGAACATTCCTCTGTAGAAACTATTTGGATGATTCAGAAGGCCACAGCTATAGGTAACTGGTGATTAGCAGCTTCATCATGACAATGTGCTCACTCATGCATCATGTCTCATACAGTTTTTTGATAAAACATCCAATTACCCAGGTGACTCAGCCTCCCTACAGCCCAGATTTGGTGACCTGTGATTTCTGGCTTTTCCCCAAACTAAAATTACCTTTGAAAGGGAAGAGATTTCAGACCATCAGTGAGATCCAGGAAAATACAATGGGGCAGCTGATGGTGACTGGGAGAAGTGTGTGAGGTCCCAAGGTGCCTACTTTGAAGGAGACTGAGGCGTCATTGTCCTATGTACAGTGTTTCTTGTGTCTTGTATCTTCTAAAATAAATGTCTCTATTCTTCATATGACATGCTGGATACCTTTTGGACAGACCTCGTATAATCTCTGTAGTTGGAGTTCTGTGAGCCCCAGTAAAGAGAGTAGATTTCATGGCTACCATACTTATTCTTTATTTTCCTTTTAATTAACTTTTTCATTTTTTTCATTTCATTTTCATTTTCACTGAATCTTTTTCCTTTTGCTAGTGATCTACCTTTGTATTTCATAATTAATATTTAGACAAAGTGTTGTTGAGTCGTTAATGTTTGAGGAATAACAGTGGAGACAAAATGGGTCAGAAGAAAGTGTGGAAAAATAAAGGCGTGAACAGTGGAATTTTAAGGGAATAATATATGGTGATTTTGAAACAATTTGAAAATTGGCTTCCCACTTTTCTCAAAATTTATAAAGAATGTAGAAAAGTTTGTAACCTATGCAAGAAATAAGATTTAAAATATTTTTGCCTATAGACTATGACAAAGGCCATCTACTTCAGTAAATGTCTACTATCTTTTGGGACCTTTAGTTCTTCTTTTGAATGCCTTTCTGTGCTATGCCTTGAATTGTCAGAGGTAACCTGTGCATGACTTGGTTAATGTATCTTAAAAGTTCCCTTCACCACCTAAATGTTTTTGATTTAGATTGTCTTAAACAGGTAACCGGAAATCTTAGAGTTTTTACAAAATCAGGTTTATATTATCATATATGTTGCGTCCCTATTGCTATTATATGTGTAATTTGTATTTATTACATGCATGCCTCTAAAAATCATCATCTTTCATTGGGAGGAATGTTTTTTTTCTTGACACTCCCTAATATTGTTTACACATAAGTGAGCTCAAATCATGTTACTTCATTAGACTGAAGCAGTTAGCGTGGCTGGAAGAGGTACCCATCTGTGTTGAAACAGCAGGAGTGAAACCACATCCATATGTATGTCTATGGGAAATGTCTAGCCTGAGAAAACAATTTATTCACAAAACTCTGTTTTCAGTGCTTGGAACTTTGCTGCAAACTGAAGCAGGCAACCAAATAAACCATTTATCCCTCCGCAGAATTTGATGAAAACTGCTCCATTCCTGTAGGTGTGGCCTTGGGCATTAAGTGTATTAGCTTTAACTGCATTAAATGCCATTTAGCATTGGTGTTGAAAATTAAATTATCACTGCTAGCTTAGCTTTCATGTAAACTTGAATCTGACAAATTAAACTGCTAGATTTATGGCTTGAAAGAAAGAACTATTGTAGTACATTCTCTGTCTGTGGACACATCTTTCTCATTCCAGCTATTTTTTTCCCACTACTTATGATGATGTTTTAACATTTAAAAAATTATATTTTAGTGCTTGCTTCGGTAGTACATACACTAAAATTGGAGCAATACAGAGAGATTAGCATGGACCCTGTGCAAGGATGACATGCAAATTCATGAAGCGTTCCATATTTTTGGATAATGGGAAAAAAAGGGGAAGGGTCATCAAGGAACACATATAAAGGACCTATGGACAAAGCCAAAGGGGAGAGGATGGAGGGTGGGAAAGTGGAGACAAGTGTACTTGAAGAACAATTAAAAATGCAAAAAATTATTTTATTGATTATGCTGTTACAGTTGTACTGATTTTCCCTCTTTGCCTCCCTGACCTAAGCACCACCCACTCCCTCAGGCAATCTTCTCCCTTTTGTTCATGTCCAGGGGTCATGTGTATAAATTCCTTAGCTACCCCATTTCCTATACTGTACTTTACATCGTCATAGCTACTCTGTGACTACCAATTTGTACTTCTTAATCCCCTCACCTCTTCACTCATTACCCCTGATCCCGTCCCATCTGGCAACTATCAAAAGGCTCTCCGTATCCATGATTCTGTCTCTCTTCTTCTTGTTTGCTTAGTATGTTTTTTAGATTCAGCTGTTGATAGGTATGGGTTTATTGCTATTTTATGGTTCATAGTTTGATCTTCTTTTTCTTAGATAAGTCCCTTTAACATATTGTATAATAATGGTTTGGTGATGATACACTCCTTCGGTTTTTTCTTACCCTGGAAACTTTATCTGCCCTTTGATTCTAAATGATAGCTTTGCTGAGTAGAGTAATCTTGGTTCTAGGTGCCTGCTTTTTATCACTTTGAGTACTTCTTGCCAATTCCTTCTAGGCTGCAGAATTTCTTTTGAGAAAACAGCTGACAGTCTTATCGGAATTCCCCTGTAGGAAACTAACTGCTTTTCTCTTTCTGCTTTTATGATTCTCTCTTTATAATTAATCTTTGGCATTTTAATTATGATGTGTCTTAATGTGGGCCTGTTTGCACTCACCTTGTTTGTGACTCTCTGTGCTTCCTGGGCTTGCATATGTACTTCTTTCACCAAATAAGGAAATTTTTCTTTCATTAGTTTTTCAAATAGATATCCAACTTCTTTCTCATTCTTTTCTCCTTCCGGTACTCCTATAATGCAAATGTTGGTTTGTTTGAAGTTGTCCCAGAGGCTCCTTACACTATCCTCATTTTTTTTGGATTCTTTTCTCTTGTTCTTATAGGTTTTTATTTCCTTTTATTCAATATCATTACTTTGATTCTTGGCTTCATCCATTCTACTGTTGATTGCCTATAAATTGTCCTTTATTTCCATTTAGTATATCCTTCATTTATGACTGGTCTTTTTTGTGCTGTTGAGGTCCTCACTTAGTTCCTTGAGCATCCTTATAACCAGGGTTTTGAACTCTGCATCTGACATTGCTCATCTCCCTTTTGTTTAGTTGTTTTTTTTTCCTAAGGCCAGCTGCTGCAAGTGCCAGGCCTGGGCCTGCTTAACCAAAGGTATAGGGACTGGGGGCTTGCTGAGGCTGGTTGTTGCTTGTTTGAGAGGATTTAGGAAGACGTGAAGCCTGAGCCTAAGACCAGCTTTTCCTATGGAAAAGCCACTGTTAACAGCTCGGGTGGGCCATAAGTTAGGTGGGGAAGAGCCTCAGGGATTCCCCAAGGCAGAGCAAGCCCTGTGAGCCAGCTTGATGGAGTCTCAGATATAGCACCTGCCTGCCAGTTGTGTGGCTCTGTGAAGGGAGGGCTCAGAGAAGGAACAATGGCTTCTGCCCACCTTTCTGTCTGAGAGAAAGCTGTTCCTCAGCTCTTGCCCAGATGTCAGACACTTCAGTTCCTCCCTGTATACCACTGGTGCCCTTCAAGCCTCTGCCCTAATGCTGGAGCTCACTGGGAGTGAGTCTGAGTAAGTCCATGTATGGGCCCTTTAAAAGGAACTGCTTGGGAATCCAGAATTTCCTTCCACTGACTCAGTCCCTGCTGGTTTATGCAGGCAGAAGTTATGGGGACTTATCTTCCTGGCATGGGAACCCTGAGCTGGTGGGCCTGCTGTAGATCTGGGACACCTTGCTCTTGAGATATCCCTCCCAGATTTTTATGCATCACTTGTTGGTGTGGAACCAGCCCACTCTATATCTTCACATCTCTGTGTTGCCTATTAGTCTGGATGGATGCGGTTTCTTTAGTTCCATAGTTAGATTTCCATTCAACTCAATTTCCAACAGTTCTGAGTAATGGTTGTTCTGTACTTGTAATTTTGATGTGGTTGTGCAAAAAGGTGAGCTGTATTTTTCTACATCTCCATCTTGACCAGAAATCTGTGTTTCAACATTTTGATAGGGCCAATTAAGTAGAAGTCTTTCTTCAAGTTGTTCATGACTACTAGACATATTAATGTGCAGGATGGGTGGAGCAAAAGTAGGCTTTCGGCTTGTATGAAAAACAATACAATCATCAATAAATAATAATACAAGAATTAACTCTGTTTCACATATCCATAACTGTAAAGCTACTTTTGCCCCACCCTGTATATGAATTTGGGAATACATTTTAACTGGGAATCACTATGTCTTAATCATGTGACCATTTTATTGGAAAGATGTACAACCATCTGTATTAGTTCCTGAGTCTCTTATAGGTGTGGATTAGTGAAGAAGGAGGTAAAGATAAACCTTTAAACTGTTACAGTTAGTTCTTGAATTGATGTGCCAAGTAAGAGTGTATCTGATAATCCAAAAGAGCGGATCATCTAACTGCTCTTTCTTTTTGATGTGAACATGGTTAAGGAAAAATTTATTTTTCCTGACATATGGACCTTCTTAACACTGTTTGACTTATGTAATAAAAAGTAATTTTTTGACTTAGCTTGCTTGTGTTCCAAGAGCCAGGACAGGAAGGGGAAAGGTCACTCAAGAAATATGCTGGTTGGTAGGAAGAATTTGGCCAGTATTAAACACTGTTAAAAAATTGGGTAAGTAAAATAAGGAAACCATGAGAGATTACTTCCTTAATTGAGCACTGAATGATCAGGGGATATTCTTTCCATTCAAATTTTAGAAAATTGCTTTTAAAATCTTTATATTTCTTTTAGTATTTGTGCACACTGATGAAATACACTAGGCTGCACATTTGAATAAGCAACTCAGAAGCACACTGCCATATTTTGGAAAACACTGATCTGAAACATTTATTTGACTATAATAATTTAGTGGCTGTTATCATCATCATCCGTCAACATAATGTAACACTTTAGTTAATATAAAATTGCTTATCTAATTTGTATTGTATGCTGTTTAGTATTAACTTATATATTATAGAAATAATCATTTCACCTTTCAGGGAAATGTAGGTGACTGGCTACATATACAATTAAAATTGTTTTAGCAACAGCTGGTCTATATGAAAACTCTGCTTAAAATCAAAGGAAAATAAAGTAAGTTTCCATGATAATTTTTTAAAATATTTTATTTATTTATCTTTAGAGGGAAAGGGAAGGAGAGAGGGAGAGAAACATCAATGTATGGTTGCCTTTCGTGCGTCCCCTGCTGGGAACTGGCCTGCAGGGAACCGGCCTGCAACCCAGGAATGTGCCCTGACTGGGAATCGAACCACGATTATCTGGTTCGCAGGCCCGCGGATAATTTTGTTTTAACTTTGTATATCAGCGACATACTTGTTAATCATATTGTTATTCCCATGGAGAACAGAAAAGAAAATCAGATATACCTAAAGAAATTAGAAATGCCATTTTAAATAAATAAAAAGGAACTGAGACTAGATTGCACAGTCTATGTAAACAAATACGAATTAAATTCCCACTGAATGCCTGGCTTCCTTATTTCATCTGCTTCCTGTTCCTACGCAAAGTACCTCTTTCCTGCATTGTAGAAAATCTGAATTCCTGACTAAGGCACTTGCAATCTATTTGATTGAAAAAAAGAATGGCTTTACTTTTCTGAATAAACAGTGCATATACTGGCTCCAGTTGTGTGGTGCTGTATGAAAGAGGATTTTGGGGCAATTTTGGAGTGAATTTTATAAATTTATATTCCCCATGTCCCATTTGATACATCTTTATCGGTCTGGGTTTTCATCTCTTGGGTAACAGTCTCGTTTTGCTTTATACCTGGGGAAAAAAAACCCAGAAATTATTGTTAGTATAAATTGAATAAAAGAGCAATAGGCACCTTGGCTGATGTGGCTCAGCGGATTGAACTCTGGCCTGTGAACCAAAGGGTTGTCGGTTTGATTCCCAGTCAGGGCACATGGCTGGGTTGTGGGCCAGGTCCCTGGTGGGGGGGGTGCATGAGAGGCAACCACACATTGATGTTTCTCTTCCTCTCTCCCCTCCCTTCCCTTCTCTCTAAAAATAAAGAAATTCTTAAGAAAAAAAAAGCAGTAGATAATATAACTATATTACTCATTCATTCCTTAAATCTGACCATTTGAGTTGACTGTCCCCTGTCCCTTACCTTCCCTCCCCTCAGTTTTTGTCCCTTCAATGTACAGGATGAGGTGACCCAGCCTTCTAGAGCTGGAAAATGCCCAAGGTTCATGCTGCCTCTCAAAAGGGAGCAAAAAGGGAGAGTATCATGATAAAAATGGTATGGGCTGTGGAAAGTAAATAGAATAAAATGTTTCACTTTAGTATCGAGACAATGAATGTGTTCAATGCTTAATTCTTCCAATTTCCCCTATACCTTTGAAAATGTTCATAATAAAATGTTAGGGGAAAAAAGTGCTTCAGCTAAGATTAGGCCTGAGAAATGACCATGAAATGGTGATGTTGAAATAACTGGAGACATTGGCAGGAGGCGTTTTGGTGGAGTGGCAGGATGCAAGCCTGGTTGGAATGGATGGGAGAGAAAAGGGGAGGGAAGAACTGGATACGGCGAGTTGTAGCAGCTCTTTTGAGGAGCTTTACTGTAAAGGGATAGCAAATTTGCTGCAAATAGAGCAGTAGCTACAGGGGACTGAGGGAAGGAGGCTATGAATGAAATGACAGCATGCATGTATGCTAGTGGGAGTGATCCAGTAAAGGGATTAAATGTAATGATGCAGGAAAGGAAAAGAATTACCGGAAGGATGTCCTTGAGTGGGTGTTGGGGGTAATATTTTGTGCACGAGCAGAG